TCGGTAAGGTGATGATCATTTCCAATGCAAAATCCAACGCTGAATTCAATGCCGTGGTCAGAAAAAATTAAAGTAGAGCCATTTTTGAGATATACAAAAATTTTGATTTTTTGAATTTTGGACAAAAGTACGATTACTAAAATGTCAATATCTTTAGAACTAGTGCACCAATTTTAAATCTTTTTTTATGAAAATGAAGCTAAATAAATTTGCTATCGTTCATTAGAATATTATGTCTTAATTAAAAATTTAATTTTGAAGTCATTTAAAAATTTACAGATTTTTTTTTTCCTGCTAATTTTCCATAAAAATCTTGTTTTAATCAACATTTTTAATGGGATAAAAAGATTCAAAAAATCATTCCATAATTTATTCTTAAAGTCCATTTAAAACCGGAGAAAATGAGCCTTTAATGGATGAAATCGGTCGGAAATTGTCGAAGTTATGAGTATTTTTGTAAAACACTTAAAAATGTTGCTGAAATACAACAGCTTTAGAGTTCCTTTTCTAGGTGTCGTTGTAAGCATCCAAATCGCATGTAAAGTTTTCATGGGAGATTCTTTTCTCAACATATCAATTTGATTAAGGCATATCAGGATTTAAAACCGAGTTGATACAAAAGAAATTTATTTAGGTTTTATTAAAAATGATTGAGAATCGAATGACTTTGTCTTCGATGTTTTGAACTTGTTTCTCGAATCAGAAACCAACAATAGTCACCCATCATTGCTTCATCCCAAAACCCTTGGTAACGACGTTCCATCATCTTCATTTGTTGGTGAAAACGTTCGCCGTGCTCATCACTCTCGTCACCAAGATTTTCCGGGAAAAAATCCATGTGAGAATGTAGGAAATGTATCTTCAAAGACATATTCACACCTGTGTTCAGTGAAATAAAAGGATTTGAAATTAATTATATGTAACAAACACAATATTTTTGATTTATACCTATTTTCTCATAATTTATGAGCAATTCATCGACGGCTTCCTCATAGTCTGGGCTTCTGAAATTTCCTAAAAAGGTTGTGACAACACGCTGGAACGATTTCCACGCTTCTTCCTCATCTGGTGTCAAAACTGTATTGAATGCGGAATCATTGAGCAGTTTTTTGATCTGTGGGCCAACAAATACACCTTCCTTTATCTTTGCGTCAGATAAATTTGGAAATACTGATTTCAAGTACTGGAATGCCGGCCCTTCTTTTTGCAACGCTTTGACGAAATTTTTGAATAGCCCAAGTTTTATATGTAGTGGTGGAAGTATTATGCGTTCTTTTACCACAAGAGGATCATTTTTAACGTTGTCTTTACCAATTGTGAAATTATCCCGTTTTGGCCAATCTTTTCGGACGTAGTGTTCCTTACGAGCTCGACTGTCCCATTTACACAAAAAACACATATATTTTGTGTATCCTTGTTGCAATCCAGTCAACATGGCAATCACTTTAAGATCGGAACAAATTTTCCAATTGTGTTGATTGTAATTTATCAAATTGAGCAATAGAGCCATTGATTCATACGTTTCCTTCATATTAACGGCATGAGCTAATGGAATAGAAGGTTTCTCATTCCCTTGATGCAGTAAAACGGCTTTCAAGCTCAACTTGCTGCTATCGATGAATAAACGCCATTCAGCTGGATCATATGACTCACCAAACTCTTCAAACAAGCCGTTTACGTCATGGCAAAAACATGCCTTGTCCTTTGTAGAATAATATTTGTCAAATTTATTGTGACGATTCCTGTGACAAGAAATTTTGACCTCCTTGCTCAGCATGTTGTGTTCTTTCAAGCGTGATGCCAGCAATTCGGATTTCTCCTTCGATAAGTCGAGATCTCGCACCAAATCATTAAATTCGGATTGTGTAAACAGTTTTGGGTTTCTTTCCAATTCCACCTCGAAGTCTTCCTCGCATTCCTCCTTGAATTCCTCCTCACTTTTTGTAACAGTCGATTCAACAGAGGGCGCTCGTTTCCGCTTTGGATAAACAGGATACGGGACCGAACTTGAATGTGGAACAGGTTTTGTCATAGAAGCCACTTGTGGATACTCAACTGTTTTGTGACGTCCTTGTTGCTTAACTTTTGTCAAGCATAAATAACAATCCGTTGCATGACAAAACGGTCGACGCCATATGGTGGGCATGTCAAAGGACAAATAGCGACTGACAGATAACAAATAAGTGAGTTAGTAAGTAAGACATTAACACTTATCAAAAATAGATGAAGTAAGATGATGTCGATCAGGAAAGAACAAAGCACTACCATGCTGTACATAAATTGTTTATATGAAAGTTATTCAAAAAATCAATTTACCTTGCGCCTGACATCCACCTAGCCAAGCACGTTTTGCACGAACTACATAATACTTTTGGAATCCACGGTTCGTCAAAGTCTCTAGGATCAATTTTAAAATAAAGCCTGTATGCAGTTTGCAACGAAGCAGTGAAATTGACCGATTTTGTAAATATATAGTTGCCACACGCGTAACAAAACTTTTGAGGATCATTTTTACACTTGAATTCACGTTTTGTCGTATACATCGTTAAGGTTCAATTTACTTTGATGCATTTTCGAAAAAATCAAAAGCAGTTTTTTTCGACGCATTATTCCAGATTGCTATAAGCTCGCGTCATTTTGTGTAGAATAGCAAAAGGAATCGAATAGTGCGAGCATTTTGCAATCTGAACTAATGCTTCGAAAAAAACTGCTCTTGAATTTTTCGAAAAAGCATCAAAGTAAATTGAACCTTAAGCAATGTTAAAGAAAGAAAGCTGTCAAATTGAGTTGGTTGCGTTAGGTTCTCGCCGAGCGGTCTCACAAACACTAGCGTAAATTATATTGTTGAAAATATCCCATTTAATTTTGCGTGACAGCTGGTAGTGTTAGTGAAATGCACCGTATGCGTACACGTCCGCAGAAAGGCTTACTGGAAGTGGTGCATGAACCTAGGAGCGGGACAACGGCCAATCTTGGAACATTCAATTTCCATGATTTTACAAAAAATTTCATAACTTCGACAATTTCCAACCGATTTCATCCATTAAAGGCTCATTTTCTCCAGTTTTTAATGGACTTTAAGAATAAATTATGGAATGATTTTTTGAATCTTTTTATCCCATTAAAAATGTTGATTAAAACAAGATTTTTATGAAAAATTCGCAGGAAAAATAAAAAAAAATGCTGTTAATTTTTAAATGACTTCAAAATTAAATTTTTAATTAAGACATAATATTGTAATGAACGATAGCAAATTTATTAAGCTTCACTTTCATAAAAAAAAAGATTTAAAATTGGTGCACTAGTTCCAAAGATATTGACATTTTAGTAATCGTACTTTTGTCCAAAATTCAAAAAATCAAATTTTTTGTATATCTCAAAAATGGCTCTACTTTAATTTTTTCTGACCACGGCATTGAATTCAGCGTAGGATTTTGCATTAGAAACGTTGGTCAACCACTAAAGTTCACACTTTTTATGTTGTTTTGTAAACTAGTGTAATCTATTCAGTATTGACAATTTTCAAGAATCTTGTGGATTTCATATAAAGCTGGCTGTGGTCCATCTTACCACGTCTTCCCTTATGGTGTGTTTTTGTATAGAAAATCAAACTCTTAACATTGGTTGGTTAACCTGCGCTGAGCATCACCTTTTGAAGATAAGCCCTAATCAAATAAAGCAACACAAATTGAATCCATGGAAACAATTGCCAATCATACTTCTGCATTCAATATAATGCCTCCTCAATAAGTGTAAACCAATCCAGATGAGAACTACTTCCACAGCCATGAAGATCATTATGCTGATATCAGTGCTAATTTTAGGCTTCTGCTCAGTAAGTAGAATAACGTAAATAAACACTATCGCCGATTTATCACAAAACATCAAGCTGTTACTTTGCGTGATTTGGTCGTCGTTTGTGATAAATCAGCGGAACAATACTTACCCATTCGTCGCTAATTTTAGGCTGAATATAGTAAACAAAAAATGGCAGAGATTATGAAATTTACGAAACAGTGCTACCAAAAGCTCGACATTCCATTAAAATCGGATTTGATTGAGCGTGTAGTGTATAACCGAAACATACCGGAGGACCAGACGACCAAGGTACATATATTGACCTATCCTAATTATCCTATCCTATCCCTAATGGTTTCATTTCAAATTCACAGAAATTCATCAACTGTCTGCTGACTGACATGGGCTTTTGGGAGTCCGAAGGAGTTATCGACCGAGAGGCAGCATTCAATTTTGTGGCGGAGCAATACGTTTCGATGAATGTGCGGGAAGTCCTTTCAAAGTTCTTCAGACCGATCGGGGCCACTCAGGATGATAAGGCCTACAACTATATTAGATGCTTTTTCCAAGACTACGACAATTAAAATTCGAGTGTAATACTGATTTTCACATTGATAAAGTATGATCAGGTTTCAATACTTCTTATTGTGCATTTAAATAAAAAATATCTGTACACAGTAAAAAAATAAATTTTGAAATCACATCAAAGTGAATGCGTGTTAAAAATATGGTGTAATATTACTTGCCATAAAAATTACATGAGATTATCGACATGATTGAAGTGCGGCCTCTGGATGTAAAATTAACATTTATTTTTTGCATGTTTACGCCGCTGGTGAACTGACTTCCGAAGCGATTAGCAGCGCTGCAAAAGAACTGTCACACGATTCAACCGTGCAACGTTGGTCTCCAACTAATCTAAATAACAAAATGATAAATATGTCAAATATTTAATTTATCTGTTTAACAATATGAAATATGAATTATGAATAAAATAATAAAAATGACAAAATGACACATTACTAACGAACACCTTAAAAAATTAATTGTCAACATCCCCTATATGACCGTTATTGAGCATCACCTTTTGAAGATAAGCCAAAATCAAATGGACGAACAAAAAAAAACATTGCAGCCATAAAAGCAAGTGCCCATCTTACTTATGTGCTCAATCTACATTGTCTCCTCAACCACTGCAAATCGCACCATCGAAAGAAGCACTTCTACAGCAATGAAGATCCTTTTGCTAATTTCAGCGTTAGTTTTTGGCTTCTGCTCGGTAAGTAGAATGATTGAGTCAGAGTACCAGTCACCAACATTAATATTGCTCCATTTCTCGACTCTTCTAGGCTGACTACAGTAAGCAGCAAATTGCAGAGATTATGCAAGTGACAAAGCAGTGCTACAAAAAGCTTGACATCCCATTTGATTCCGATTTGATTGAGCGTGTAATGTACAACCGAGACTTTCCTGATGACCAAACGACCAAGGTAAATTTGCATCCTTACTGAACGCTGCAAGCTTTTTTAACATTTCGTTCCAACACTCACAGAAATTCATCAATTGCATGTTGATTGACTTGGGCTTCTGGGAATCGGAAGGTGTTATCGACCGGGAGGCCGTGGTAAACTTCATGGCAGAACAATACGATTCGGAGAAGGTGCGGGAAGTTGTTGGAAAGTGCTTCAGGCCGACCGGAACCACCCAGGAGGATAAGGCCTTCAACTATTTGAGATGTTTTTTCAAGAATAAGACGTTTGTGATCTGAGCGTTGTTAGTTGAGGACAATTTGTTTCAGTTTATTATGTATTGTTGAAACACATTGAAAAAACAAAACAATTTGAAAGGCAGATTTCTATGCTTTAGATTTTCTACCGACATGTGTGATGATTTAGAAAGAAAGATCTTGTTGTTTGTATTCTAAACAGCCGTGGCTTGTGACGACATAGTGTTATCTAAAACTTATTTAATTGGAAAACGAGGTATATTTTGGCCTACGAATTAAACCTTTTAGAGTGCGTTTAAAGTTGTACAGTCTTTCACTTAGTGCTGAAATCCATGCTATTGGGTTGTCTTCCAAGAAATGAAAATGCGACAAATGTGATTTTCTCTTTTTACCATCTACTACGAATCCAAAATAGACAGTACACTAGGTATAACTTTACTACCCCAAAGTCGCAGCTATGTAGGCCCACTTTGCATCATTAGACGTATAAATTTATCATAATAAATTAATAAATAAAGATTATATTTTTTTTTGTTTTTATCATAATGATACATCCTGAAAGCTGAATGTTTGCTACTTTATTAAAGTATATACACTGACCACTCTCTGTTTTTATCATGTAGCATCACAAACAAGCAAAGAGTAGCGCTTTAGCCTAGTGTAGATTAATGGACGAGTGCACCGTTGAATTTGAGTTCACTCACTCGAGAAAAAGTGACACAAACTGCGGGCAATGTTTACTAATCATGAACACTAAATGTTCATGAATAACTCGTCCATTGCGTTTGATTTGAAAATCTTCGCTGTTGCGTGCGAGCGAAATGAACAAATGAGTGCATTATACATTAGAGTGATGCAAAATTTGAAATTTTCACTCCACAGTACTTAAACAATTCTAAATCGGATCCTGACTAACCTCTCGAAATTTGAACCCATTTGGTGAGAAACTGAGATGGCACAAACCATTTGAAGTTTGTATGGGAATTACTATGGTGAAACCAAGATTTTTGTTCATGTCTATCTAATAATTCACCATATGGGTCTGCTTCAAAAACTTTCAATTCAACTTGTACTTGTTCCCATGGTTCAATGCGCTGATGTCTTATGGTCATGCTCAATCAACTGCTCAGCAGGCAACATTGGTGTTTCTGGTGCTTAGAATAGAGCACAAAAATCATGCAAAATACAGTGTTGCCTACAGAGCAGCTGCTTGATCATGTCATAAGTTTACAAATCTCTTAAATAATTAATAACTATTTCCAGTCTCCGTTTTACATAGAAACGATCTTCAGCAAAGTTGTAACTGAAATTAGAAAATTTTCTATAAGAATGGCTATCGAACTGTTTCGCAGCTCAATATGGAAAAAAAGACTAGAAGCGAAGACAACAAATCAAGAGGACTGGCAACTCTTCCATTTTCTCATACGAACGCTATGAGACAGGTACAATCGCGTCATCTGCCGCTCAAAGGTAAATGCTTCGAACGAATTTGATAGCAAAGATTACATCCTCAGACGAAGGGTTTGTGTATTTGCTCATTTTTCTATGCGTTGCTTCCACCTTCACTCAATCGCGGTGCTACTGTATCTGTCGCTTGAATTTTGGCAAAGTTTCCAGTCTTCTTGATTTGTTGTCTTCGCTAGAAGGCAATGAAAAAAAAATTGAGATTTCCCATAGTAATTTACATGTAAACTTCAAATGGCTTGTGGGAAGTCTGTTTCTAACCAAATGAGTTGTAACTTTGGGAGGCTAATCAGGACCCGATTTTAAACCATTTAAGCACTGTGGAGCGAAAAAGTCAAATTTTGCATCAGTCTATTATACATCAATGAATAAGCGTTTGTTGATATTCACCAGTGATTGATTATCCAACACAAAACTGTCAAAATCAGAAGCGATCCTCCAAGCAAAATAAACAAACTAATTTTGAACAAAACTATTCTTTTGAATATTGTCGACCTCGATATTACCATCAATTCAGCATGATCTGTGTGTAAAAACCAAAATCAACGCTATATATTTGTGTAAAATGAAAATAATAATTATGCATTTCTCGCGTATCATTCGAAAAGGGCCTATCAACTTTTGTAAACAAAACTTGCTAGGGCGTATACTCACGCACCAAAGTACATCCACACAAACAAACAACACCATCGGTTAGGGGAGCATTACTCCTCCCCGATGATCTTGTTGGTTTGCGTGGGCATACTTCGAATCTCGCCCTAGCAAGTTTTGTTTACAAAAATGATAGGCCCTTTTTAAATTTCACGCGAGATTTGATCCTCAAAATCCCCACCAAGATGAAGACGATACTGAGAGGTTGCCTTGATGAAGAGAATATTGTTATGTCAAAACTCAAATTCACGCAGGTAGTTGGTCTATCTATTTAAGATGTCTTCATTTTCAGCTAAGTTGAGTAACAGAGAACATACATCCAAGCTTGAACAAATGTTTCGAAAAATTGTGTGTAAGAATTCAAATTAAAATACGTTAGAAACACTAACGCCGCCATACGGAATGTTGCGACTCGAGTTTGCGATTAATGAGTAAACTGAACTAAAATTTGGGTTGATCTTATTGGCCGTGTAACTACTAACATTTGACAGTTGTCAAATCAGTTCAAAACAAACAAGACAAAACAATGAAAATCGATCGAGTTTCTGCGGAACCATTATTTTAAAATAAAAAACTAAGCGGTGAAAAGTTAGTTAATGTACTTTGACTATATGTTTTTAGTATTACTTCTACGTGAAGTCAACGATTTAGATAGTTGAAGATGCTAATTTCAAATAACAGACTGTAGTGGTAATTTTTATACGATAGATGGAGTAGATGAAAGCATAGAGTTGATACTTCCGTTAGAGTACGGCAGTGTGAAGATTGTATATAGATATTAGTTAATGTGATAATTTATTGCAACAGTGATTTGTTTCAAATCAATTTCAAAGAGGAATTCGAAAAGCCTCGGGGGGAAGTGGTCGTAACATAACTTTTTCGTTGCTAGCGCTTGGACTCCACGTGAGAAGAAAATCTCCTGTAGTTCGGGTGACTCGCAGCGATTTATTCAGTGGCTGCTCCTGCAATTTGGAAGGATGTTAATGAATGAATCGATGTAAAACAAAACAATAAGCAAACCCTTACAATTAAGCATCCTTTGGAAAATTGTTTATTTGCGCACCAGTAAAACTTGCGGCCCTTGTTTTGATCGGTTTTAAACAAACAATGTTTTGACATTTATGTAAAAAATGACGTCTGCCGATCATCGACGCACGCTATGTCTGAAGGCACTGTTTTTGCAACTTTCATGTATCTCAAATTTATCTTCCCAGGAAGTTAGTATTGATCGTATCAATCAAATCTGTGAAGGTTTTAAAATAGTTCATCTTGGTTTTTTTGAAAAATAGTATTTTGAAGTATACTTAGCCGTTTATGAAGGCGTATATGGACTATTGACGATACAAAACTGTTACGAATCGAAATAAATTCAGCTGAAAATGATTCAAAAGGGGATTGAAGAAGTCAAAATATTAAGTTTCAATGAAACAGTAAGATTTCTTCTTCGGTACCGTCAGATATCGTAGCTTTGTCAGGGTCTCCTAGTGTTTAAATTTAATAATAAAATAATTAAACAAAAGTCCCTAAATTTACTATTATCCCGCCATTCCATAGCAAAACGATATTGTGGTTCTCAGATTATGATCAAAATTGTAGTTTTGTTTCTTATCACAATCTTTTATTTATTTTGTCGTAAGGGTGGTCCAAAAAATCGATTTATTTTTTATTTTTTCAAAAATGACTTTCTTTCAAAAAATCATAATTTTTTAACCACTAGCCCGCATTCAAAGTTCTAAATATTAAATGAAAGGTGAAAAGAAACAACTGTAATAAAACATTTAATGATTTTAAAAAAAATTGAAAAACATTGATTCTTTTGCTCATGCCCTCGATCACATTTCACAAGGAAAGCGTAAAAGAGAAATAGATTTTGCAAGAAATTCTCTCTATTATACCTGATTTCTAAGACATGGAGTGAGATGAGACAGCTATTAGAAGTTAGACTCAAATTCAAATACCTGTTTATAAGTTTTTCCTTCATTTCGTTGAACTTCGATGAAATTCTTCAATCGTTCCGGATGTTATATGAACGTCTCTGAGTTTGGTATTTTTTCCTGAAATTCTCAGATAATTCATATAGGTCACAGTACTTTCCAAATGTTATTAAATGTTCCCTGTTCCTCACGTTTAAAGAACTTTTTGCAGAGCATTTCATATAATGTTGCTATAGTTCACAGAAGTCTCTTGAAGTTCGGTGAACTTACCAGGAGGACATTGAGCTCTCCTGAAGCTCACAAAACGTCCCTGAAGTTCGCAGAATTTTCCTGAAGTTTATAGAATTTCTGCTCTAAAGACCGAAGCACATCTTTCAAGTTTGAAGAATTTCCTGAAGTTTGTATAGCTTCCCTGAAGTTGCTGAATTTCGCTGCTTCTTTGGAAGAACTTCTTTAAAGTTTGCATAATTTTCCTTATATTTATTACAGATCCCTACAGTTTGCAAAATTTACTAGAAAGTCACTGAACCTTCCTGAAAGTTTCCTTAGACAAAATATGGGAAGTGCAATGAAGCTCTAGCAATTCTGTAGTAACTCAAGGTGAAGGCTACCTAAACTCACTGGACAAGAGGAGCTAATCTCATGTGAGTTTGACATTATCGGATAAACGATTTTCAAACAAATTCGTCATGGTTTTCAGAATTTATTTTCGATCTCACCGTTGAGTCAAACACCTCTATTTATTTTTAAAAATCCTGGAAAATTTTCCACCCCTCAGGATGTGTTGGTGACAAATGCCACCTTCGTCACCTTCTGAGTACGGGACACAAAACTTCCGGATACCTGCCATATCCTTTATTGAACTCTGGTAAAAATCTTTCAACAATCGTCGCTTCTAAAGTGTCATGATTTTTTTTACAGAGTCGCTTTTTTGTAGCACTTCAAGCGAACTATCTAATTTCTTCATGATTCCAGATTTCCTACACGATACATCTATAAA